GGCTGGTGCGCTTATTTTATTTACTTGTTACCTAAAGGAAAAGATGTGGCAGCCGTGCTAAAAAAAAAGAAAAGGGGCGCCGGCTGATACTTTCGTACTTATGTACTAATGTAGGTACAATAAAAGATAGGGTGTCCAAGTCTGATTTTTCTCTCTCCGCTAACGGGTACGTAGTAAAGAATAGGACAGGATTTAACTCTTTTTTATGTTACTTCGAGGTAATGTAGAGAGAGAGCCTAGTCAAGGGGTGTAAGCCAAAAGGAGGTTGTCTGCTTCGCCGCCAAAGAGAAAGAGCCAAGCCAAAGGGCAGGAAGGAGGTAGTGACGTACATGTTTCTTTACCTTTTTTTTGGGAATAGTCGTAGCACAATTTTTTTAGGTGTTAGAAGGAGGGTTACCTAGTAGTTTTATTATTAACAGGTAATTTATTTACCGTAATTGCAATGTGTCAGTGTGCAAGTTTAGTACTGTGTTAATGCGTCAGTATGTTAGTTTAGCTGTGCGCCACTGTGTATATGTGTACGCCAACTAAAATTATACTTAATTTACATAAAAAACAGGCTGGCGCAGCAACTGGTTAATTTTAAAGTGCTTAACCTAACTAAAGGTAGGCTCAAGGCGCAACTGCATTATGCAATGGTAAATTTTACTTATAAAATCACTTTTAACTCTATTTCTTCAATAATATAGGCCAGATATTCTGTCCCTAATATATTAAACATAATATTGTAGTGTCATACTGGTAATGAAAGCATAACATCTTCAGCCTCTACCTTATCTATTTCTTTGGGTGAAGAAAATTTTACTATTTTGTTACTGAGGGATATGGTATTACGGTGGGTGTAGCGCTGAATTATCTGCTTCTTTTATACTTTTTGTAACCCACCCCTTCAACTCTTTGTAGTCAAGCAGTATAAAGCCGTGCAGCACGAATAAAAAATAGCCGTATCTGCTTTTGCATTGCTTTATAAGACAGACTATTAAATAAGAGAGAAGAAGTTAATTTTTAGTTTTGCCACTAAATGTTAAGGAAAAATTAATTGCAGGGCAAAAAACATCACTCGTTCTATACTACGACCTTAGAACGTAAATTTTTCCTGCATTATTTGCGGGACCACATAAACAATTAACTATTTTAGGTTAATTCAGCAAAACCAGAGTGTAGGTCCGCAAGAGGCCGCAGGAGGCCGCAAGTGTGAAGTGCATTTTGCTCCTTGTTTTTTCGTTTAAGCGGTAAGCCTTGTATAGAGGGACTGTTATTGCCTTTGGTTTAACTCCACTAATCACATAAACCAACACAAACGCGTAAACGGCTCATTAAAGTTGTGATTCCTTCCCTTCCTTCCCTTCCTTCCCTACCCTTTCCTTCCCTCCCTTTAAGAAGAGAAGATAGGAAGGGATACAGAGAAGAAAAAAGGTTAGGCTTTGCATAATTTGCAATATTAAACCTTTAAAGCGTAAGGCTTTGGTTTTTTAGAATTAAATTTGTTTTTAATCTTAAGTTAGAACTTTAGTTTACCAAGAAGTAATAAGTTGATTTTTTTTTTATTAGGCTGGGTTATATTATACTTATATTAATATTGCCAGCCTTTATTAGTTTTTTAAAAGGTTTTAAGAGGATTCGAACCTCTGAAAAAAGTATTAACAGTACCTCACTATAACCACTCAGTCATAAAACCCAAGTTTGTAAAACTATAATTAGCTGGGCTTCTTACTCACCTTTTTTTTGAGGTAAAGGCTGAGCAGAGCCGTAAATGCTAATAAATAAATAAATAAAAAAAAAAAAACAAGTTAAGATTGCGAGTTAGGCAAAAAAAACTAATAAAAAAAAAGTTATTGGGTATTAGCAGTCCCAAGTTAAAATAAAATTATGGTGCAGTTAGTTTATTTTAAAAAACATAATTATCAACTGTTAACTGACCACTTTAAACGTAAAAATAATAATAGTTATAAATGTTTTATGCTTAAAACTCAGAAACTTGTAAATTAAATTAGTATTAAATATGTTCTTAAAATTATTACTGATAAAATTAACAACTTCTAAAATTTTTAAACTAGTTTAAAATTTTAGGTCTCTTTTGGAATTGAACCAAAATATTCACTTTAGAAGAATGATGTTCTACCTTTGAACTAAGAGAACAGTTACATTCTATATTTTATTTTTAAGTTTTAATTGAAAATTTTTTTTTATTTACTTTTTATTTCTTGATCTGTACCTTTTGCATGCTTTCGATTTTATACTAAAATTATGTGTTGTTGTTGTTGTTGTTGTTGTTGTTGTTGTGTGCAACATAAAAAATGAATAGTTCAATTTCTCTGTTAGCTCCGCTAAAAACAATACAAAAGACTAAAAAAAGTAAACAAACAAGGCAAAAAATTAAAACAAATGTCTGGTCAAGCCCTAATAATAAGAACAAGGGCAACGGTTTTTAACAAAAGTTAGTCTTAGTTTAAATAGGCTAAAATTATTGCAATTTATTTAACCTACTTTGTTCAAGAACGTAGTTAGAGAGAAGAAGTGAAGCAGCGTTTTGTACTAGTCAAATTAAAAAAAAACCAGGCAAGCGGGCAAAAAACAAAGGCAGGGCTGCATTATACTACAAGTAAAACGTACTTCTGTTTGTGCAGTGGACTGTTTTTGCTGTAACTAAAGTTTCGCTAATACTTTTTTCTTTTTATTTCTTTACACTAATTTTTTTCTTTGGGACTTGGACACAACCTACCCTACTATTGGCCGATAGATGCTTATAGTGGTAACTATTGACCCCTAGTGACGTCGACTCTTCTTTTCTTTTCTTGCCCGCTTTCCACCTATCCTACCGAAGGAGGCAGGTTGGTTCATTTCCAACCTAAAGTTGGGGCAAGCAGGGCGATGCGCTTCTTCTTAGCTGGTGACGAATCAGTACAGATACGCTCTAGCCTCGGTCAGAGTAGTAGAAGGCGGTAAAGCGCTGTACTTTATGTCCTCAAGCTCTGCTACGCTGTACTAACTGCTATTACCTCCAAAAGTTCAGGCTAGTTGTGCTTTTAGGCCGTGAAAAAGTGACTGCTGTGTCTTTTTTCGGTTAATCCGCAAAGTTCCTAGAAGAAAATATTGCCAAACTGCAAAACAGTGTAGAGAAAGAGACGAACCGTAATTTAAGAATAGTCTGGTAAAGGCATAACCACATTTAAGCACTTTCGATAGAAATATTAAATTAACTAGAAGTTATAAAAACTTAACCATAATTAACCTTAGAGTTTAATGGTTTTTAGTTTTATATATATTTTATTTTTTTAAATAAAAATTAACATAATGGAGAAAGATAGACTTGAACTATCATATCCGTAGTGCAAGTACGGTTGATTACCAGTTATCAGATTTCCCCTTTTTTTTACTATATATTTTTTTAGTAACACAGCAGTTATGGCAGGGCAGGTGTTTAGAAACTTTATACTTAGTGGCACCTAGATCAATTGCCCTGTACTTTGAACAAAAAAAACTATCTTGCACCTCAATCTCTTTTAAGATTAGTTTGCCTTCTCTTTACTGAGCAAATTAGGGTGAAGTGGTTTTAAAGTAGGTAGGTTTAAACCAGGAATAGTGAGCAAGGCCCATCATTATTTTTTTTGAAACTTACAGCTATTTTAAGTACTACTTGCCCTTACTTTTTGCATAAAAGTACCAAACAGTAAAACACTTTTTTTTGATTGATAGGAGTTTGTTTTTCAGCCTAGTTAGAACTGCTCCGCCTTGTTGTGCTAGCGCTAAAGAGGAATAATAGGCAATCTTACTAAGAAACCTAGCAATTTTACTGTGTTAGCGGGGCTAATTATAGTCGGAAAGATGTAAAAGATGTTTACTTATCCTTGTTTTTTTTCCAGATTGTCAAAGGTAGTAAAATCGCCTCTATTTTTATTTTGCGGTTCTAGTAGCTTTAACTTAATTTTAGATTTGTGGAAAATTAATTTTGATATGTAATTAGGCGCTATATAAATTAAATGTAAAACAATTAATTTTTATAGCTAATGATAAGTTCATTCTCTAAAAATAGTTTGTAATGGATTTTTTTACATTTCCTTAAGAAAACAAAAAGCCAGGTGCTAACAAATAGGCTAATTTATTAGCATTTTCTGTAAAACAAAAAGAGATAAGCGTGCCAGTACCTACTTATGTAGGAGATAGGTAGCCACTAAAGTAGGATTGGAGCGCGCTGTTTCCTTTAGGTTGGAGCCGGGAACCGTTGGTGTTTATGCAACCAAAGCCTTTTAATAAAACTATTTGAAGTAAAGCAGGTTTTATAGTTAACTTTGTTTACCATAACAGTTCAGTTTTTTATTATTAATATTAATTTAGCCTTCCTAGCGGCACCTACTTTACATGCTTTCTCACCAGGTTCCTTCGAAAGACTAAAGATAAGCGCAAGCTCCCAACCTAGTTGAAGACAGGAACGGTTATAGTCTTGTATTTTATTTGTATTTTTTTTTCGTAGACTTTGATAGTTTCTTTTAAATATTTTTGGAATTTTATAATAAAAAACAAAAAGACTAGTTTTTAGGATTAGTTTGGCGTTTTTTTGACTACTATAAATTTTAGGCTTAAATATCTATTCTTAATTAGGAACTAACATAATAGCTTCGCTGATTCGCCTTCAAGGTCCGTGTTTTTTAACTATATACTTTTACTACTATACTCTTTTACCGTAATAATAGCGCAGATATAGGGTAGTCAAAAAAAAACTAAAGCTAAAGCTAAAGCTAAAGCTAAAGAGAGTAGGTGGAGAATAGAGAGGCGTAATCAGTAACTACCTGTTATAAGCATTAGTACAGAGGTGTTAAAGCAGTAGCATATATTACTTTCACTTTTTATAAAAGTAAATATTGGATTTAGCTTGTTACAGAAATAGTATAGTAGGGTTAAAGGTAAAGAATAGGGTTAATGTACCGCTGGATAAGTTTTATTATGTTAAGTATATGATAAGATGAGGGTGCAGCGAGTAACAACTACGGTAAAGTACCTTCTAAAAACCAAGAAAAAAAAAAACAAGTAAAAACCAAGGACTAAACCACAGTGCCACCCCACTTTATAGCTAAATGAGCACTATCTTTCTGTGCTCTGTTTCCTGCTTGCTGCTTGCGCTTATTTATAGTACACACCGCTAGGCGGAGCAGCGCAAGCAGCAATCAGGCAAGTCCATGATTTGTAACAGCTTTCTTGCTTAGGCTCCTAAAAGCAGGTACAAAACCCATATAAAAAAAAAGAAGAAAGAAAGAGTGCAAACAAGAAATAAATTTTCTCTGCGATAGGCTACGCGCTACGCAGCCATAACGGTGCCTCCTGCTCATTGTAACAAGGTGTGTTAGTACAGTGTAATTTCTCCTTAGGAGGGTTGCAACAGGAAAGGTGGAATAAGCCAAATATCAGGCTCCTGCGGCAAGCTACATAGCACTATAACTATACCTCTTGTATTATCTTTTTTTTTCACAATTTACATAGGAATAGGGGCTAGCTCTCTGTTGTTTTTTTTTTTCTCCTATTTTTTCTTAACTCTTAAGGAACTGAGTGCGTTAGCTCTTTTTCCTACTTTAGTCGCCTTTACTACTAGATCTAAAAACAGGTCCTCGTACCTGAGAAAATTTAGGCCTAGTATCGCGCCGCAGGAGCATTAGCCCTATTCTTCTTTAATTTAGACTAGTTGAGCCTTCTTTAGTTGGTACTGGTAGGGCCTAATAGCAGACCAGGACCGATACTTTTTATTTTTTTTTTCAAAACTAGTTGCTGATAACTATAATTTTATTGTATAAACAATGGCAGCAATGTAGCTAACTATAACAATTGTGGTTAACAGTTTTTACGTATTTAGTACCTAAAAACTAGCCCGCGTTTTAGTGCTTTAGTGCTTTAGTGCTTTAGTGCTTTAGTGCTTTAGTGCTTTAGTGCTTTAGTGCTTTAGTGCTTTAGCATAGCTGCCCCCTATTAAAATTTAACTAAAAGAAGATTTAAAATCCTTAACTTATATAATATTTAACAATTACATGTTGTTGCATAAAACTTGCCCCCTAAAACCTAAAAAATGAGCTGCACAGGCTTCGCGCTAAATAAAGCTTAGTGCTTTGCTTCAAGCCAAAAAGATAGTGATGTTATATCACCCTTTCACGGGCCCTATAAATTCTTAGTTAAACTACCTGCTACTAGACTACAAATTTTCTCTAAACATGCAGCTAAACTACACAAAACAGTTTCTGCCTTTTTAACTTTAAAAGCTGCCTCCTTTAATAGGTGGCAAATATTTAGCCGTAGAAGAGTAGCAACCATTATGTATGGTGGCGAAGCAGAACAATAATTCTTTCCTCTTTTATTTACTGGAGCCGAATAAGCCGTAGGAGTCGAAGGAAAGGTGCGCTGTAGAGTAACAAACGTAGCTCTTGCTGTAATTTCGCCATCGGAAAGTTAGTGCAACAGTTCCACAAAATTAGGCCTACGATATAACTTTCATTGCTTCGCCAGCCACAAAAAGTATTTAGGAAGTAAGCTACATGACAGTTATTATTGCACTGTTCTCAACTTTTTAACCCGGGCTGCAATCAAAGGCTGCACCTGTAGTTAAAACTAAAGAAGATAAAGCCAGTGAAGAAGAAGCCATAGTTGTTTGCTTTATTTTGCTGGAGGGCTAGACACCCTCCTACTGAAGGAGGCAGAGTAAGCCTCCGTGGCGAAGCAGCAAAGCAGAGAAGGAGCGTAGCAGAAGCACAAACAGATATACAAATTTAACCTGCTTTTTAGCATAGGAAAAAATTTTTACTTATAATAAATAAGAAACCCATATTATCTCAATTTAAATTTTTATAGTCCTTGACTGCTAGCGTTTCACGCTTCGCCACCAAAACCAAACAGGGTGTAACAAAAACAAGCCAAGAGGTTTAGTTTTTATTTATTTTTAAGATTTGATTTGCTTTATTGCAATGTTGCTTTTTATTTAGTTTCTAATTAGTTCATAATGGCCTAGGTTAAAATTTTGTTTCGCTTTGCATTTTTTATTTGTGCCCTAAAAATAAAGCTAACCTTTAATGCATAGCACTGCTGTAGTTTTTTTGCTTAGTAGTACATAGGACAGGTTCAACTACACATTGCCAAGTTTAATTAGCGAGTGCGCTAACACA